CTAATGTTTCGCCCATCTCTGTGGCCGGCATCTTCAGAGTGCTGTCCTCTGAAGATGCCGGCTACAGAGACTGGCAAAACGTTAGGAAGAACAACCTTCAGAACACGGCCGAAGAGCCTGAAAAACCCACAACAACCAAAAGCCCCAGGTACTTAAATGTAACGTATTTTGTTTTTCTTGGCTAATAAATCACAAGAAACAGATTCTTTTAATCTTTCCTATGAACTAGGGCTTGGATTTAAAATTTGTCATTCTTAGAACAGACCTGCCTAAATCAAGAGATACATATCTACCATGGGGGCAGGGAGTGGATCCTAGAGTTATATCTAGTTTTCATTATAGAGTACGTTGCTTTTAGTAAGTCTGGAATCAGTGAATGACTCTAATTTAACTCTAATTAATTTCAGTGAATCTATTCTTCCTCATTCTTGAAATGGTCATTTTGCTCACATTTTAACTGTCATTGGCAAGGTCAGGATTGTTCTCTTTTATGGGAACTACAGAATGTAAGGCAGTCACAAACCAGTCTGATCCTTTTCCATGGCTATCTGCACCTTTTTGGATCACTGGCAGGGGGTATTGTTTTGTTTTTGAAGCACAGATAGGATAATTCCATTTGAGTTTGGTTTCCAACATATGTGATCACTGGAAATGGACCAAAGCAGCACTGGTGGGTGTTCCGTGTCACTTTGGTGACAAGCCAATACAGTGGTATGCCACTTCTCAATACATTTTTGTTTTAATTCCCTTGCTGCCCCATGAAGGAGAAGACAGGAGAAAATGAAGGGGCCTGGAAGCAGAGAGGGAGAAACAGAATTAATAGGGTTGATCTGATGTGCAGTGTGGTTTCTACTCCTGAAACCACTTGGTGTTTGTGTGTGAAAACGAGGACCACTCTAAATGACATACTGCACCTTGAAACAACCTTATTTAATCAATTCAACCTGATTTGACTTGACTATCTATTTTAAATGTGAGTCTACCCCAAGTATTTTGATATTTGGATTCTATTCTTACATTTCTTCTTCCCAAAAATTAACAACATAGGTATCTGGAAGAATACTCACATAATTCCACAGGATTGTCTTGTAGATTTTCACAAGTTGGTTGTAAAACGAAGCTTGCTAGTTTGGGAGTTAACCCCACTGAACTCAGTGGTCAGTGCTTCCAAGCTGAAATGTGTAAGGTTGCCTTCACATATCCTGAAATAATTGTTTCATCTATACCAGTGACTAAGGCAAGGCCATGTTATCAGCACATATCAAAAAGACAACAGGAGAGACCTGTAACAGCTTAAAGATTAAGATACAGTACACAAAATCAGACATGTTAGTGGGTAGATATGTTTGTCAGCAGGACAAGAAGAAAATGCATGAGGATTGTATTTACAAAATGCAGTCAAAAGATCAAGTACAGTACTGTATAACAGAGTAAGCAGAGTACTGACATATACCATCAGATTATGTTAAGATGCAGTCATTTTTTTCTTTCACTTTCAATAGGAGGAGAAACTGCTCCAGATACTGAGGAAATGTCAGTTTCATTTAAAGGGTGGATCTATCTATTTAGGCAGTCAGGTTTCATTTCCTTAAGCAGACGTATTTCCTAGAGGCTCAAAACATTACATATCTGTGAGGTCATTATGTTCTTGCAAGGCTTTTAGTCTGAGACAGTTTTCTAAGTGCTACTCAGACTGTTTAATTTGCACAAAAAGATAGATGAAATAGCACCTGCGCCTGTGATCTTGCTTTTCTCAGATAACACTAGCACCAGAATTATACCTCTTAATAATTTGTTTTTATATAATGTATCAGAACTGAGCTAGGATTATATTCTGTTCCAGATACAAATCCTGATGCATTCTTACTGTTTCTAGAGACTGATACACTGCATAAAATGACCCTTCAAAAGCCTGGTGAAAGACTCATCATAATGTAATTGGTGGTTCAAGGAAATCAGAGCATTGTGCTGGAGTGTGTAGATTGTGGTACCCTAACACCTCCCAATGTAGAGCTCTGTCTGGATGATACTGAAGCAAATTTGAGATAATACTTAGTAAACAGAAGCTAACAAATTGTACGAAGAAAAAGTGGCATTTAATGATTTCTGAATGTATATGTTTTTGCTGATGGATTTTATTGGTTTTATATATTTTTATTAAAATGCAATTTAATAAAACTTTCATTAAAACTATGCCTAATTGATTAATCATATAGCTTTAATTGATTTACATGTGTGAAAGCTTACATTCTTATTTGCAAAATCTACCTGCAAATGTACACATCTTATTTGAATTTGGAAACTGCAAAAAGGGATAGTGCTGTTCTTCTTCAGTTTGGGGGAAGCCTTATGCTGTAAAGTTTGTCTCTGCAAAGAGCAGTTAATGCAATTTCTGGTCCCTCCTAGCTGTTCTGCTTTCTCTAGGATAACAAAGTGCTTGAGTAAAAATATGCAGCCCATCCCCCAAGAAAGTAATAATCTTGTGACAACACTGACTCATACTGTTTTTCTTCCTTCCCCTCCTTCTCCGAATTGGATAAATGTTTCTGCTGTTTTCAGATCATTGTGATTTTTCAAACTTGATGGCCTTCACAAAGTCGGAACAAGCACTCTTTCTTGTAAATATTACATGTAGTAATTCCGAATACCCAAATACAGCTTGAATAGTAAAACTGCAAAAGTATGTAGGCTAAAAAAGTGGCAGTTAGATTTTTTCTTCTTCTCCCAAGTGTAAACGTATGTGTGAGGGAGGAAGAGCAGAGAGAACTGTTTTTGCTGATATGGAATGCAAGTCTGGGGGAGGAAGCATTGTGGAAGGTAGAGGAAATCTCTTAAGGAGACAGCAACAATTCTCTTTCACTTTAGATCTTCACTGTTGGTGTTTCTGAATCAAAACCACACATTAATGAATATGCCCTACAACTCTTTCCTTCTGCATATACAATTCCTTCAAAGCACAATCAAACTTGCAAATGAAGCAAGTAACGAATCACAAAACATGTGCAAAATACAGAATGTTATATGTTATGCTGTCCTCCAAATCAGGGTTGATAAAACCAATGTATTAATTAGACCAGTGGTTCTAATGAACCTTTTCTTTACCACAGACCCTCTTTAAATATCTTTTGTTACTGTGGACCGAGACTTAAAATTTAAAACCCTAAAGTTATCATTTTTTTTGCTATTAGTTAAGAAACTTGAAATGAGGCTCTCATTGCATTTTCATTGCTACAACCAGTTGCAATATTTTTTTACCATTTTCTTGTTTTCCTGAAGCTCATGCTACTTACTTTTGAAAAAAAAAGCAATGTTCTTTGTGGCATGTACTTTATGTTTAGCACTGAGATGTCTTTGCAATTTTGACAGTTTCATGGCCTCATTAGCCAATATCTCATAACAGAACACATACTGTGGTAGTTGTTTGTCTTTGGGACCTGTACACATGAAGCGAATTGACAGATATTCCTTGCTATAGCAGCGACACTTTTTTGAGATGACTGGAAGAAGCTTTGATTATGGAATATGCTTTGATTATATTCCTGCACTGAGCAGGGAGTTGAACTTGATGGCCTTGTAGGCCCCTTCCAACTTCATTTTTCTATGAATCTATGATTCTATGAAGCTTCATTTTGCTTTGAACAAGATGCGCCCTCATCAACAGCACAGGTTAAGTTTCAGATTCAGCCACCAATCCATTCTCAGCCAAAATATAGTAGGCATCCTTCAGTCTCGAGAGACTATGGTATTGTACTCTGTACGGAGGTCTTGGAACAGCGTCTGGTGAGGCTGAGAAGGCCAATTCGAGAGTGACAATCTCTTCCACACTGAAGACAAATCCAATCTGTCCCCTGTCCAGCTCCCTGCTTTTGCTGCTTTTGTGATTGCCTCTTTGCCTCAGCCTGCTGTACAAGTGTCTCTTCAAATTGGGAGAGGTCATGATGCACCGCCTGCCATGATGCACAGCCAAAATATATTGTTATGAATACAGGGATGGGCCACCCTTGTGAAAGCATGTTCTACAGAAACAGAAAATGATGGTTTAGGCGTCAGCATTCCAGGATTCATAGGATCCTACCACCTTGACACAGGATTTAGAATGCACAAAAATATACATAACTTCCTTGTTTGCCTCTGTGACAATCTGCAGTGATTACAACAGTAAGAGGAATGTGGAACAACCAATCTAGCCTTTTGTACCACACCTTAGAAAGCCCAATGTGTAAGGAAAGGACTGTTTGATTTCTTTGTGAAAGCAGTTTTAGAACAGAAGGAAACATCTTGTCTAGCGCGGGTAACCCTGGCCCCTATATCTTACTGTATGTATTCCAGCTCCCTTGAATAATAGCTTAGCCATAGCTTAGCCATCAGTGAAGAAGGCTGGGGCCTGAAGTTGGGCAAACAGCAGAGCGCCACACTGGCCCACCCCATCTAGAAAGGGCTTTTCATTATTGTACGCTGAATGGAGGCTGGATGGCCCTCTCTGTTGCAACTCAGTGAGTCGGATTCGATGCCCTTTTCATTTTGCATTTCTAAGCGTGTGTCTACACGCGAGGCAGTTAAAGCAGCCTGACGACCATTTCAACTGCCGCGTCTATGGGATCCTGGGAGTAGCAGGTCGAGAACTCAAAGACAGGTGTATTAAAACTCTGCACCAAAGAATTATAGGGTCAAAACCAAGCCCCAGCGCCCAGGATCCCACAGGATGGAGCTAGGACCGTTGAAAGGGCTCGTGGTCCAAGGGCCAGCGGGGCACTTTCCTCCGCCCCCCCCCTCCGAGCTGTAGCCTCTTAACTTTCCTTTCCTTCTCTCCTTCGTTGCAAACAAGCAACCCAACCCAAACGCGCACCGAACCAGAGAGCGCCCTTCACTTTCGTTTTCTGCGACGAGGAAACACCCGGCGCGCGCCGCCACCTCGGCAAAGGCCCGCCCGGTTCCCCGAAGTGACGTCGCCGGGCGGGGAGGGGCCAGAGCCCTGCCCGCGCGGCGCCTTCTTCTCCGACGGGCGAATGGCGAGTCCGCGCACAGCGGCTGGAAGGATGTCGGGCGCCTGGGCGGGCGGGCGGTCGCCGAGCGGGAGCAGCGCCCGGCCCTGCTCTTCGGCGGCACCGTGAAGCGGAGAGAAACCTTCCATGTCGCCTCTTGGGTAGCCGTCTGGGGGCTTGCATTCAGCCCAGGTGAGGGACGTAAAAGAGGGGAAGGCGCGTCCAGGGAGGGATGCACGGATACGGGCGTGCATGCATCGCCTGTTGGTGGACGTAACAGCTGCTCTGGGGTGGGCGTGCGTGCGTGCGAGGCTGCGGTGGAGGGGCTGGGTTCCCCGCCCCATGGAAGGGGTTCATCCCTGTTTGCAGCGTTGCCACCCCAGCCTCAAATCCTTGTTCACGGTTGTGAAAGGTGCAACTGCTGGAGCGCCTGGAACTCAGGCGACAGGAACTTCCCTTGGGCTGGAGGGAGCCTGATTGTGGAGTAGACCCGTCTAGGACTGGAACCTCCTTGGGTCGCGGGCAGGACTGCAGTGATCCTAAGCGCCCTTAAAGGCTTTGTAAACTTACGCCCAGGGACTTGGGGGTTTAGGCCCATTTTGAGGAAAGATCAAGCAGAGAGCACAACTTGAGGGGGAGAGCCAGAAAAAAAAAGGGGGGCGACGTACTTTGGAGTGCAATAGTAAGCAGATTAAAGGTATCTGGAGAGACCAGGGCTGGCTTCAAATGTGCAGCAAAGGAACAATTTGTTTCTTGACAATAAATGTAACTGGTTGAAGGACCCAACTCTTTTTTTTTTCTGCAGAGAGTGATGGAAGAGACCGAAAGTTCATTCTCCAGCAGGGTGGGACCCTCATCTTGAGGAAGAAGCCCCAGGTTTTGTTTGCTCCTTTCTACAAATGGCTTCAATGGCCTGGGAGGGCATGGTGATCTCCTTTGCTTGCTTTTAGAGGTAGAGGCTGACTACAGGGGTATTTCATCCACTGCAGGAATAGGCTGGTTCGCTCTTAAAGCCAGTGATCAGATGGTGTGTTTGTTGGAGCAAACCAGCCCATCCCCGGGAGTGGTCCAATCCATACCTTTCCAAGTCCCTGTTAAGGTCTTCTCCTTTTTTGTGCAGATGGGATCACCCTGGTGTGGATCGGTTCCAGTGGGTGGGATTGTTGGAAACGATCTGAAGGAAGTGGCCTTTCCAAGTCCCTGTTAAGGTCTTCTCCTGATGAGTGGCTATTATATATAAAATAATATTTTACTGTGTCTTAACAGGCCAGTTGAGAAGCTTCCTGTAGTTGACTCTAAGGTAGTGGCTGTTGGCAATTTGTGGACCAGCCTGTCAGGGGAAGGCAAAGATGGACTTTAGGAGCAATTTCTGTGTGAACTGATCACCCTAATCAAGCCCAACCATTCTGAAGAGGCCCACACTAGCTTGTTCTCTGCCACCAATGTGTGAACTGTCAGGCTTGATTAGATCACCCTAATGAAGCCCAACCATTCTGAAGAGGCCCACATTAGCTTGTTCTCTGCCACCAGTGTAGGCCCATCCTTAGCTTTTCCCATGGAAAACAGCATATCTGACAGTGTTGCTGTCTGACTCATTTTTTGCAAGACATCTACTGAGCTGGGCTTTTCTGATAGTACTCACTCAGATTAAAAATAAAGGGAGAGTTTAGTTTCATCTAGGCCTAATACTAGCAAAGGAACAGACGGCAGTCAAGTATAAAGAAGAAAGGTATATTGTTACTATTCAGTTTTGCTTGGTGTTTCAAATTGGCCGCTGCAGCTGACTGTGATGAAACTGCAACAGGCCTCTCATTTTCCATTGGGCAGAACTGAAACGTTGTGAAGAACTGAGTACTGTAGTTGATAGGACACTAAAGCTGGTTGATGTGGGTGTTTTCACTGAAATGAGAGATTACCTCTGTCACTAGGATAAAAATGGGTCTCCTTGTTCTGTGCTACTGCTTGAGGAAAATGCAAAAGTGGCAACTTTCCCCTTTTACTTACCTCTTTGCAAGCCGCTTGTTTCCACAGTCTCTCTTTGATAGCCTCTTAAACATATATTTTCTCCTTTCTTCCATCTTTTAAAGCCTGTCTCCCTTCTTTATGAATATTGGCTGGAGATGCATTTGGATTTGTGTATACAAGGTGTGTCCTGACTGACTTCGAAGGGATTGGAGGAAAAGAAGATTACTCCATTGGTCTGTGTTTAATAGTCAAATATTTAAATAGCCTAGAAGTAATAGAAGGTCCGCTGATCACAATCATGCGGGTACATCCTTTTTAAAACTAAAGTTTCCAAGAAAAGTTTCAGAAGTTATTAAATAGGCTAATAGTGTGCAAAATGGTTTTCAAATAGTTACGGTGACCTTTCCCAAATAACTTTGGTTTGGAACTAGCAAAGTCTAGTTAAGGATTTGAGATTCATTATATGTTACCATCAAATACAAATCAATATAGGACATTGTGTTAAAAGAATTGGACTTGCACAGATTTTTCAAATTTTATTAAGAGTTTTTTCCTGTGGAGAAGCGGACAGTAAGTCTTATGTAATTCCAAAATATATTTTATTTGTTATAAATAACAGAACAGTAAAATGGTCTTCACAAGTGTATAGTAGCAGCCATCTATATTCTGAAATGGCTGAATGTTGGTGTGCAAAAAGAAAATAATACATTTTTCAACCAGTTGTTTTCAAGCTGACTGTTCTTGTCTAAAGCAAGGACATGCTGCAAATCCCACTGTTGTTTTCATCTCTTTAGTTTTGAGTTCAGTGGCATCATCCAGAGCCCTTCTTTCATGTTGACCTAGTGTAAATGAATCCAGAAAATCCCAGTTAACCATTTTGTACACCTGTGCTGTGAGGTGAATGAAATAGTTTTCTCATGCTTTATTTTCCTTAAAGTAAGAAATATATTGATATATTCTTTATGTTTTGACATTGGTATTGTGAATTAGGCCATTGGAATCCTGTTGCAACCTGTTGATGTCAGGAGCAGTGATTTTTGCAGGCATTAAAGGCTCCCCACCTCCTATCCCAAGGCTCCTAATTCCCTGGGTAAAAAGAATCTCTACAGAGTCTCAGAACTTGGAGGGGGGGGTGAAATAGGAAATTTTTAATGAGTGATAATAGCCCACATCTATCAGTTTGTATGAACATAAATTTGCTTTCATACAAGTCCTCAGCTATCATATACTTTCAGACTTTTTGGGGTGTGATTTTCTATCAAACTCTCTCCAGAAAGTTGTGGTGCTTGTGCCTTGTGCATTTCTGTATGTTTGAGTGTTTTTATAAAATAACTTGAAGACCCTGGCCCCAATCTTGCATGGACCTATTGTTGTATAGGATATGATTAGCGAAACAATTAGTTTAAGAAGGGTCTGAAAATGAAGGTATGAAGTTTAAGCAAGACTCAAGATAATTAAGGACATTGGTTAGTTATAACCTCCGTGTTGCTAGATTAAGCATAATGAATTATGCAGAAATAGAAACAACGGACTCTGAGACCTATAATGAACTACCCTTTGGGGTGGTAACAATGTTCCAGTCCAAAGGTAATGGCGTAACAAGTAATGTATTGTAACTGTTTTCAAAAGTTATGTTTAAAGATGTTTTTCAAATTTTTGGAAGCATTTTGACAAGTTTTTTTTTAATGTTTAATGCCATTTCATCTCAAACAATGCATGATATTTAAAGGGTGAGTGAACAAGCATGGTCCTGCATGCAGGTAGAATGAAGTGGAGAGATACATACAGTAGGTCTGAGGCAAAATGTAATTGCATGAGTTGCTAGATGTTGCGCTTAAACGGCAACCTTTTTTAACCAGACACAGATAAGTTTGGTTACAAAGTCCACCATCCCCAGCCAGCAATCAGATTGTGTGAGATGTGTACATACTTGGAAAGTGCTGGGTTGTAGAAGGCAGTTTGAACTGCCTAGAAAGCAACTTAGAAGGAGCAGTAACAGTATGTTTTACTTGTTTGTAACAATGACACTGTCAGAGTGCCTATATTAATAGCAATGATTCTCCCATGGTAGCATTTTCTCCAGCTAGTGCTAACAAGGATTAGATTAGAAATGGATTAGATCAGAGGTTCTTAACCTTTTCTTTTAAAACCTTTTCTTTAAAGACTCCTTTAAAATATCTTTTGTTGCTGTGGACCACCAAGACTTAAGATTTAAAACCCCAAAGTACATCATATATTTAAAGTTTCTCATGAAGAGTCTCATCGACAGATTTTCCTTGCTGTAATGGCGACACTTTTAAAGATGATTGGAATATCTTAACATTCAGCCATTTGCTTTGAACAGGATGTACCCCCATCAACAGCATCAGTTCTTCTACATGTCAAATTCAGCCAGCAATCCATTTTGAGGCTCAGCCAAAATGTATTGTTATGAACTCACTGTGGTAATATTGAAAAGTCACTTTACCCGGTAGTAACCAAACATTTTTATTAGCACAAACTGAAGAAGGAACACAATCATGAAGTCCATCCCAACACTCACTCACACTGACACTGACTAACTCTGACTCTCTCTTCAGCTTCTGTCTGCACAGTAGCAAGAAATGTCAAATTCTGCCTTTCAGCCACTCAGTGTCATTCACTTGCATGTTCTCGCTGTCTGCAGAAATATCAAATAATTATTTGCTATCAAACAGTTATTTTCATAACTGACTTTTACTTTTAGGTTTTATACAAACAGGTAACTAAGATTTTTTTGTATGGTTCTTTCTTTCTATCTGTTTCAACTGCAAAAGATCATAACATTTCTTCAAGCCTTCGCAGACCCCCCTATGAGGACATTGTGGCTTCCCAGGGGTCCATGGACTACAGGTTAAGAACTTATGGGTTAGATTTTTGAGCTCCATAACAGTTACCAATGTGTGTCAAGCCTGTATCCTACCATTCCAGTCTCTGGAGTTGATATAAGGAAAGGAACTTCAGTAATAAGCCATATAATTTACCATTCTGATTGAAGAAGCCATCTAATATGAAAAAACCAAAATACTCACTTTCTGGTTGGAAATATCAACAGCCATGGCAGCATCTTGGCAGAACTAGGGGA